GCAATTCATAGAAAATTTATTAAAATTTTTAAAAAATGATCTTCACCCTTCCACACCTCACACTTTGGAAACAATAATAAAAAAAAAAAGAAAAATGTCGTCCTCTATTACGGCTACACACAAATAATAATAAAGAAAGAAAACCCACACAAAAAAAAAAATCCGCCAACCACCATGTTGCTCCAGGAATTGTCTGCATATTTTGTCCGAAAATAAAATTGGAAAGATGGTTGCGTGTGCTTCAACCGTCCGACCCTCCATGTGTCCGCACAGCGTTTATATTTCATGGGTCATCGGCGTGCGAGTGCGGCCCGCAGAGCACAGTCACTCGTGTGTGTGGGGACTGAGAGAAGCACGCAGACATGACGGGAGTCGCGTCTCTCCATCGGGAGAGTGAGCGCAGAAAAAAAAAAATCATCGGGGGAAAAGAAATGCTGACGGCACTGCCGGCGCGTGAAATAAAAGCAAAAAAATGAAAAAAAAAAACACGGCGGCAGGGTGCGGCTGTGTGTGTGTGGCGCTGCGGGTGTCTGCCAGCCCTGGCCACAAAGAAAACAAACAAGAGGGAAAGAAATGTGTGCGCCGCCCCACAGGCCCTCGTCGCACGCCCACACGTCACGGCTCCCTCAGCGCGCCGTTCGTCGCGGCCCCTCCTCATGCGTGCAGCAGGCGAGGCGCACAGGGCCGTCGTCATGAGCGTGTCGGTGGGTGTGCGAGTGGAGCAGTTGGGCGGAAACACACGGCACCCCTCACAGGAAGAGTGCGGAAGAAACAATTAAAGAGGGAAGAGTAGAAAAGAAAAAAAAGCCATAGTGATTGCCCTAAAGCAGCAAGAAAAAGAAGGGAAGTGATTTACAGAAAAGAAAACAAAAACAAGGAAAGCAAAAAGAAAAAGAAAAAAATGAAATTAACAAAATTCAGTGTTCAACGCTGGGATGCCGCTCAGCTGTTGCTCCACAGAATTTCGCAATTTTGCTCTCCCCAATTCATTCAGCAGAGAGCCGCAGTGCCCCACAGCCCCAGAAGCAGCAACAACACCCGAGACACACACACATGCACGGTGCTGTCACGGTTCAGACCCATGGACAGCAACTCCGCAATTTCCCCGGTGAAGGTGTCGTTGTCCGAGTGTCGTGCCGCGCCTTTTGTTGAGGGGATCCCTTCGCCTCCAGGCGTGGTGTTTGTATTAGCCGGTGCGGTGTCGACCGTCTGTGGCACCTCCTTGCCTTCTCCAGAAGAAAATTCGGCCCTCTCAGTCCAAGAGATGTTGTCGGTGTCCTCCGCGGATCTCGGTTCGGCGTCAATCCCTGAAGGAGTGAGGCTGCTGTCTGAGTTCATTTTTCCCTCGGAATTTCTTTCCCCCGCCTCGAGGCTGAGGCTTTCCTCCGCGCCGGTGGTTCCGGTTCCAGTGGGCCGCACGTCGTTATTTTCAGTGGGAAGGTCAATGCTTTTCTGCACTTGGTGCCCACCGTACACTGGTCCGGCGGCCGTTTCCATACTCAACGACGCAGTCACTGGAGACGTTGATTTGCCACTCCTGTCATCCGCTTCTCCCTCCTCCTCTGGCATTTCTTCATCATTACTTTCAG